CTGGCTGGCACCGTGCTCAGCCCTGCCTCAGCAGACCCTTTGGCAGCAGCTTTTTCAGTGTACTGTTCCCAGCTCTTGTCTTTGTCCCTCATGCTGCAGTGCCAGCCAGGGATGGGGGCTGGGAATTGGGGTGGTGCCTTTCCTCGCGTTGGCACAAACCCCTGCCCAGCCCTTGATGGAGTCCTGCCTCTGGTTTGGCCACCTCTGGAATGCTACAGTCACACCTCCCTTTGAAAGAGCGCTGATCCCATCCTGGGTTTCCAGGGCATATTAAAACGGGGTTTTTAGAAATGAGGTAACGTAAACAGAATGGGGAGAACTGGCCTCAGCTCTGTATAGTATAATAGGGCACCCAAAGCGGCTGTGGCCTTTCCTCTGAGACGTATGTCTCATCTAGGATTTAGTTGCTAGATCCCTCTTTTCCTTGGCTGGCTCTTCTCAAGTTCCTGCAGGCTGTCTGTCTGCAGAGATAGCGGCATCAAACCAGGGGACGCGGCGACTCAGCTCTGCATGCAATTGCCCGTATCTGTTCTCTCCTGTGTTGTGAGAAGCGGCATGGTCCGTGCCTGTGGTGGGCATGCTGAAATCTCCTAGGCTTCAGAGCCAGCTCTGGTGCTGCACCATACTCAGAGCCCGCTGGAAGATCTGCCAGCCTGTCTTGGAGCTGAACAGCTCGTCCGTGAGCTACGTGTCCTCTGCCTCTGCAGAGCCGTGGCTGTCAGAGACCCCTGCCCGCGCCGGGGAGGGTCTGTCCATTCATCTCTGTTGGCGCTCAGACCCTGCTGGCATGAGGAGAGGAGGATGTGGATGCCGTGGCCTCTGGGGCTGGCTCAGCCCGGCTGCCTGCGCACCGCGCTGCTGCTGGGGAGGTGCTTGTCAGCGCTGGAGCTCTCTGCAGCTGCTGTTGGCTTTTTTGGAGGTTGGAGAGTTGCGACCATTCGGGGTTTGTTGGTTTGGGGTTTTTTTTAAAGTCAAGTGCACTGAGTCATTGTGAATATCAGCAAAGCTGCAGCCTCTGCTCCTGGGAATAATCCACGCCTAACGAGCGCTTCTCCTGCTTTAAAGGTCTGTCAGTTGTTTGCATTTGGCGGATTTCTATACCGCCTTTACTGACAGTTAAAGTTCTCAGAAGGAAGTGCCCGAATCTCAATGATGAAGCCAACAGCTGGAAACAGCTCACCCGTTCCTGAGTAGCCTGGTACCAGCGAAGACCTCAGTGCCTCTCTCCTCCTTGCAAGCCTTGTGCAACTGGTGCTGTTTTCCCTCTTTCCCAGTTTGGGGAGGTTGAATGTACCTGCTGGTGCCTGAGAACTTCCCAGGCAGATCTGCGAGAGATCCTCGCCCATCTTACAGAAGCTGGTAATTGTCTTCATGCCCTGCTTAAATACCCTAAGCCAAGGTGCTCCCCTCCTCGCTCCCCAAGGAGACCTGCTACCACCGAGATTTCCTGACACAGAAGAAGGTTTATTTTTGCCCTTCATCCCTCTGCCAGTCCCCATTTCTCTGGGTTATTAATCAAAGTGTCAAAAAAGCATGACTGTGGCACTGTCCTGGAGCATTTCTCTTCCCTGCGGGGCCTCGGCCGTGCTCAGCACGGCGGCACCTTCCCAGGCTGCCTCCTCCGCGCCGTCCCCGGGAGGGCAGAGCCTCCTCTGGGGCTGCTCCTGCAGAGATATTCCTCCCCCTCGGCAGGGCAGCTGTAGGGCAGGGCACACCGTGCACACGGATGAGACGATGAGGAGATGCCAGCCTGCCTTCTCTTCCCGAGGGTTCTTTTTTTTTTCGGCCCAGCTCAGCTTGCGCGGACGAGCTGAACCCTGCAGAAAGCCCGCTGCGTTGGAGGGGCCATACGCAGACTGAGGTCTCTCTAACTCCATCTTTTCCCATTTAATACAACTTTATTTTTATGGCCTTTCAGCCAGTTTTCGGCCCAGGTGATGGGGTTTTTAGTCCACAGCAGTCTGAAAAAATCGTTTCTGTTCAGTTCTTAAGTGCTGTGCTAAAATCCAAACATCTGCCATCCCCAGAGTCCATTGCTTTGTAATTTTGTCTTAAAAAGTAATCTCTGTAAACTCCACCACTGCCTGCTGCTTACAGATCTGCTCTCCTCCCGGCAGTCAGTGGTTCAATAGCATGTAAGTAATTGGAATGATTTCGAACACTTCTCAAGTCCCCCCCAGAGATAATCTCTGCCCTTAGCACCTTCCAGTCAACACAGACATACAGAAATGCCTCTTTGCTCCTTCCCTGGGTTACACAACGTTGGAGTGAAACCGGGCATGATCCCGTGCTTCACTGGGGACACAGCAGGGGATATGCATCGGGGGAGGATTGGCAGAAGAGACTCTTCTCATTTAATGCATTTCTGTTCTGGGCCAGTTAGTCCTGGTGTTGCTCCTCTTTCACCGCAGCCCTGTGCAGCTCCGAGCACGTTTACTCTGTTACCTGGGTAGTGACCTGGAGCAGTGAGATGCAAAAATCTTCCCTGAGCACTCATGCATGTTGTACTTGTGCTGGGTGCTCTGGCTGAGGCTGAGTTAGCTGGCAGCATCTTTTGGGGATGCTCCAGCATTCCAGCACCCAAGCGAAGCAGCCACTACGGCCGCTACAGCTGCTCACTGGTGTGGATGCGATGCATCTTATGGAGAAATCAACCTTGGAAAGCTGAATCCACCTTTGTTCAGACCCCAGGTCTTCAGCTTGTTATGCATCCCAGCACCCATGGCTGCACTGAAGTTTGTGGAGAGGGAGAAGGGTCTGTGTAACTCTGGTGGATTTGGCTCTAGCAAGGGATGGGAGGCAGCAGCCAGGTCCTGCCAGTCCCAGCCGGAGCTGCTGTGCACCTCCATCACCCCAGCACGGCTCCAACATGGTCCAGGGCTCACTGCATCAAGCAGCTGATGCACGCTGCAGATTTGGGAGGAGAAGGTTCAGAAAGCTTCTTTTGCAAAACCTCTTTATCAGCCAAACAGCCGTCCCAGGGGTATGCCAGTGCCTGCTGCAGCAGCCGTCCTGGTGTCCCCGCATGGCCGGGAGGAGCCTCTGGGAGACGTGCAAGGGCTGCAATGCTCCTTGCCTGGGGGCAGAGGTGCCAACCCCAGACACTTCCTCAGGAGGAGCTGGCTGGGATTACCTCCAGCCCCAGGGCATCTGCACTCCAGGACAGACTGCTTCACCTTGCGTCCTGGAGTCAGCAGACAGTACTGAGGCATTTCAGGGCCTTCCTCCCACACTTAGAGACAGATGATTCACACTGTGGTTGGCAGCACTATGGCTGTGTTTTATCTAAGCAAGCATATGGAGAACAGGAATCAGCCCTCTGTATGGGAAATGCTCCCTGGCATTCCCAGGGCAGGAGGGATTTCTGTCAGAGCAGGATTTGCCCTGCAGGTAACAGCCACGGCATTTCTTGAGTGGGGGATAAGGCAGCGAACTTCAATGGGAGAGCGAGCAAGGAAGGTGCAGGCGGTGCAGGGGTGCTGGGAGCAGGGCTCGCTCCAGTGCCATGGGTCCTCAGCCCGTGCATCCCACGGTCACTAATCCTTGCTCAGAAACACCATTCCAGCTTAGCCTGGAGGATTGTTACTGCAGCAGGATGTCCAGGAGCAATTCTGGTTCTCGGACCAGCAGAGCCCCCCCCTGCAGACCAGCCGTTGAGTGGGGAGTGTCCCATGACCCAGGCAGAGTGATGCAGTTATTCCCATGGCTGGGATCATGGGCAGCTTCCCTCGTCCCCTCCTGGGTGTTCACTGCAGTGATTTCCAGCGTGGCTCTGAGGGTGTTTGCTGCTTGGGACCCTTCTCCTCCCTGGCGTCTGCGTAGTGTCCTCCTGTGGCTAAGGGGCCCTGCATTTCAGCTGTTAGATGTGCATCTTCCATTTTGCCATCCTGTAGGAGCAATCTTTCCAGTAGCAATGGTACTGGGCCCAGGCCTGACTGGCTTACCTGCCTTTTGGAAACAGGGTGTCCCTAAGACAGGGAATGGGTACAGATGGGACGAGCTGGATGAGCAGATCTCCCAAGATCTCCCTGGCGGTGGAGCCTGGGCGCTGCTATCACAGGCGTCGTGTTGGAGGGTGTCTCCATGAGATCAGTGCAGAGGGTGCTGCAGAGCCTTTGCAGGTGGCATTTTGCTTCCAGCCTCCTGCGTTCTGCTCCTATCATTTCACCAGCAATAGTTAAACAAGCGCAAAACGTCCCGTGGTTTCTGCGGTAAAGGATGCTTGGTGTTCAGGGCGCATCCACCTCATGCCCTGTTTTGGAGGCTGAAAGCATCTGCCAGACACAGGCATGGCTGGAGGGCCAGGGCAGGGCAGGGTACAAGCAGGGACTCCCCCGGACCAGAGGAGTTTTCTTGGCGTGGGGCAGCAGGAGGCAGGGCAGAGCTACGCCCAGCTGTCTGATCCTTGTCTTCTTATTTCCCTTCCAGTTACTACATTGACGGCCGAGTGGCCAAAGTGACGGACTTCCTGAAAACGCGCCTGTTAGACACGCTCTCTGACCAGATCAGGAAAATCCAGAAAGTGCGTGAGTGCAAATGGTCTGTGAGGGGCGAGGGGGCACCGTGCCCGTGGTGGCCGGCCTGGGCACAGCTCGTGGCCGGGGCTCTGGCCGCAGCACTGACACGCTCCCAGGGGAGCGGGGGTGGGGCAGGGATGTGGCATGGGGCAGCTGCCGGGGGCAGCTCTGCTCCCAGCCCAAATGCGGTCAGCCCTCGCCCAGGGGATGGGAGGAAAGTCGGGCAGCGCGGCGCCCAGCCCTGGGGTGGGATGTGGGGAGGGAAGGGGCTGGGGGCTCAGCGTGTCGTGCGCTGTGCGGGGGTGCCGGGACGCAGGCTGGGTGCGTGGCACGGGGGCAGATGCTGCCACGCAAAGCCTTGCTAGAGCAGCTGGCTCTCTCCAGTCTCCCATCCATCCGTTCCTGAAACTCGCTCCCGAGGATGAGGAGAGGAGGAAGCAGCCAGGCAGTGCCAAACCGCCCTGAGCGCAGCTGG